GCTGTTCCCAGATGGGAATTATCTCCACAGTATAAGGGTCAGGATTCCAGCACACGTTTTGGGGGGACACAATTCAGTGCATAACAGACACGTGGGAAGTGACATAGAAATGCCTTGCACCTACCAGTCGTCTTCTCTACAGGCATGTATGACGTACCTACCTTGTCAGTGCAGCCCAGGCCCGAGGTGGTCCCAGGAGAAGATGTGATCTTCCGCTGTCGTCTGGAGACAGCAACAAACAAATTCTTTCTGCTCAAAGAGGGAAGATCCAGCCGCCCACAGCAAAGACATGGGGAAAATCAGGCCGACTTCCCCATCGGCCCTGTGAAGCCAGCCCACAGGGGGACTTACAGATGCTTTGGATCTTATAACGACTTTGCATGGTCTTTTCCCAGTGAGCCTGTGGCGCTCCTGGTCATGGGTAAGAAAACCTCCAATTTTTCCCATGTCCTCCCTGGAGCCCTCAGTAAACTCCAGCCACAGATGGGGAAGGTGGGCCCAGACAGGTGAGAAAATGCCAACAGGTACCTCCCAGCAATGCCCTCACCACATCCATGACCTAGAGGCTCCTTGGTCTTTCGTGAGGAAGAGTGCCAGAGGGACAGGGAGGGGAAGCGTATGGGTAACAGTAGCTAAACCAAGTGCCATGGAGAAGACGCCAACTCATGGTGACCCCAGTGTGTCAGAGAATAGCTGTGCTCCATAGGGTTTTAATGGCTGGATTTCAGAAGCAGGTCACCAGGTGCCTCAGGGCGGACTCGAACCCCCAACCTTCAGGTTAGCAGCCAAGCATGTTAATTGTTTGCTCCCTGGGACTCCAAACCAGTAGCTGTTGAGTCACCTCCAACTCACAGTGAACCCCTGGGTGTCAGAGAAGAACTGTGCTCCGTAGGGTTTTCAGCGATGGATCTTCCAGAAGTAGAGTTCCAAGACCTTCTTCTAAGGCACCTCTGGGTGGACGCAAACCTGCAACCTTTTGGCTAGCAGCTGAGCATGTTAACCATTAGTATCACCCAGGGACGCCAATAGATAGGTCTACCAGAAGACACTCAAACCTGTTACTGTTCTTCTTGTCCCCCTTGCCAGGACCTATTAGGAACACCAGTCTTGCACCTAAAGAGTCCACCTATTATGATGGTGAGTAACTAATGTCTGTAAGTTCAGGGAAGCAGTTAGAGCCTCCCAAAACACTACAAACATGGTATTCATTCCACACATCCATTGAGTTCCCTGGGTGTGCCAGGTAACAGGGCTATACCAGTCAACCAAACAACA